AAACGGGTTTCGCCCTTGGGGGGCCCCGCGCCCCCCCCCTCCCCCCCCCTCCCGCGCCTCCCGCCTCTCGCTCGCGATACGGACTACACCTGTCCTCCCGACGGGGGCCAAGGAGAGACCCACCTCGAGACCTCGAGACCTCCCGCCTGGGGCACACCCCTTGGCCCCCACCCCCTCGGGATGCTCGGTCTGTCTCGGCCTATCTCGGCGACTCTCGGCTGCAGGTGCTCCTGCTCTCGCTGGATGGGCTGCGAGACCTCGAGAGCCGGCTCGGCGGGCCGGCGCCGTTCCCGCGCCGCACGTGGCCGCCGTCGGCGGTGCTGCGCGAGTGGCAAGCCGCGAACTGAAGGGGTGCCGGGCAGAGGGCGTTGCGCACCGCCGATGTTGGGGCAACCGACGTGCCCGCGCACCACACCCAGCCGCGATATAGATATAGATGATTGTGGAACTCCGGTCGTGGTGGTATGTCACGTTGTTCCCGGGCGGCATTATCCATTAACATTTACAAGGTGCGTCCTGAGGGACAGTGTGTACAGAGGCGTGTGTTGTGCCATGTGGCTACACGCTACACACACCGAGCAGCCAGCACGCCAGCCCCAAAAGCAGAGCAGCAGAGCACGCAGCTCAGGTAGGTGATGCAGCGCGAGCACCCACAGCCTCACTCTCTGCAGCGGCCAGCGCCAGCGGTTCCACCTTTCCTGCCGTGACTCGACCCGGAATTCTTTTTCTACCCGTCATGCGGCAGGTCGCTTGCTCTGGCTCGCTGCCACCGTGGTGGGTCACCAAGAACTTCTCAGCGTGCGCCGTCTTCACCGCGCGACGCGCTCGCCACGCCTCACCCGAGCAAAAGAAGCGATCGCGCGCCGCCGCCGCCCGCCTCGCCTTGCGCGCCTGCGCCTGCGCCTGCGCCTCGCCTCGCCTTGCAGCCGCGCACGCGCACGCGCGCGCTCGCGTTGCCCGCGTTCGCTACCGCGAAGCAACCCTCCACGCGAGTTTCGAACCGGGAGCCAAAAGCTCCCGGCTCGAACCGCGAACGGTTCAACCACCGCCGCTGGCGTTCTTGCAAAGGCAGTCAGGGGCAGCGCCTCATATAACGTGAAATTGTGCGAGCGATACTCACCCGACCCACCGTGCCCTCGCGAAAGAGATCGCGCGCCGCGCGCGCTCGCACACGCCGCCCGAGAGCACTCCCACCCCCGTTGCCCTCGCAAGCTCACAGGTTGAGCTGAGGAGAAGCAGCTGGGGGAGGTCAAAGCGGGAGCTGCGGGAGAAGGCGGCACGGCGGCGGCGGCGCGGCGCCCCCCCATCCCCATCCGCCTCCGGGCGAGAGTGTCCCCCCAGCGTCTGCTCTCCAGCAGACGCTCCGGTAATCAGGCCGAGAGTACCAGGCAGGAGAGGGGAGAAGAGCCCAGGGTGGGGAGAGGAGAAGAGCCCAGGGAGAGAAGAGCCCAAGGCGGCCTCCCTCTCCCTCCCCTCCCACCGGGCCTCCCTCTCCCCCTCCTCCCGCCAAGCACCGACAGTCTCGAGGGGCCAGCTGCTGGGGGACCACCTCCGAAGGGGGGGTGGACGTACGCCGGCGGCATGAGGGCTTCAGCCACCCCCCTTTCTTTTCCCCCCCCCCCCCCCCCACCCCCCACCCACCCCACCACCCCCACCACCAGCGCAACCAACACTCCACCCGCATTCAGTTGGCCTGTATGATCCCTGTTGGATCGGACGTCCTGATGTCCGCCGTGCCCGATCACTCCGCCGAGCCCGATTCGACTCACTACGCGTACAAGTCCAACGTGAACCGTGAGTGCGGCAACGGTCCGTACACCATCAACGTCATCGGCCAAGGTGTCGCCATCACAGAGACGCACCCGCTGGGCATGAGCAAGCTCCTCGACCCAATCTTGGAGGATGGCTGCGTATCGACCATCAAAGAGGTCAACTTCTTGTGGGCCAATTCGTACTGGTGTGCTGCGTTACCACCCGGCCCCTCCCGCGCATTCATCAAGGACGGGCTCAAGCACGGTGTTCGCTTCAACCTGATGCACTCGATTTCGCGCGAGGAGCGCCCGGAGGCAGAGTGGCCGCGAACGAACGTGCAGATCCTCGGACAGGCGTTCAACCTGACCAACACCACGAACCAGGATCCCAATGTCAAGTGGTTTGTCGTCGGATCGAGCGGCTACAAGAAGGCGATCTACCCCCAGATCAAGGAATGGGGCTTCAACATCGTGCCGTGCTCGGACTCCGCTGCACGCAAGGGCTACCCCTGGTGCGGCCCAAACTCGCTCTACGAATGGGAGGAGCCGGGCCTCGACAGTCTCGTCGGGCGCCAACGGTCGCCGCTCTGGAAGTACTACGAGGCGATGGAGACAGCCAACTTCCCAAACAAGGAGGACGATTGCCCGACCAAGACCCGCCGCAAGCGCAAGCTCTCGCAGAAGATGCATGGAGAGTTCAAGCAGCTCCGCAAGGCAAGGCCGCGCGACGACTGAGCTCTGGCCAGCCCGCCACACGACAAGCCGTCAAAATGACAACGGGCGCACCGAACTCCCCCTCAAAGCACATGCTTTGTGTGTGTGTGGAGAACTTCTACCTTACCTTACCTGCTCCAGTGGCGACTTCTGCGCGGGGAAAGAGAGGTACCCGGGTAAACGCCATGATGCGTTCCGTTTTTGTGTGTCGACTTGAATCCAGTGTTCAGCGGATTGGGGAGCTTTTATTTTACGCTCTATACACTATAAGCTGAGCCTCGAATCGCAGGTGCGGCGCGAGGTGGCGCGGTACGCGCTAGACGAAGGCCGCCTGAGGAGGCTCGTGGAGGAGCAAGGGGCGAGCTTCAGCGCCACAGTGGCCAGCGTGGTCGTCGACAAGCTTTGCGGCTGCATCGCGGCCGCCAAAGGCATGAGCGGCACGGCACACTACGCACTGCAAGCGACTGCAGAGGTCTCGGCTGAGGAGGCATGCGCCAACCTCAAGACTATCGAGAAAAACTTGAAGAAGCAGGTACACAGGCGGTGGTGGAGCTGAGGTGTGCCAGTAGTCTGCTGTGAGAGGTGTGTCGCGGAGGGTAACTGTAGTGCGCGTCGGGCTGGTGGATTAGGCCAGCCACTTGCAGGTGCACTTGGAGCACCCTCAACTCAACTTGGAGCACTTGGAGTGCAGTCGGCAACCTCACATCTTGGGGCACTTGGAGCACTTGGAGTGCAGTCATCAACCGCACATCCAGGGCCGGGGGGCTAAGAAGCGCACCCAGCGGGCCGGATGATTGGCATCGGGTTGCGGGCAAGAGAGCCCTAGCCCCGGGGGTGCGCGTTCGCAGGGAAAGGGCCTTAAAGTAAACACAGGTCTCCGAGGGTTGGTTCCGTGTACCGGGTTTCCCCTTAACTTCAGAACGCCCCCTCTACTCGGAGCTAGTAGACATGACACTGTACACCACTCACGTACACAGGTCCTCACTCAGCATCCCGTCTCAGGGTTCCTCCGCGCGATTTCCCGGGGCTCCGGTTCTCCCTGATTCGCTCTTTTATTCGCCAGCCGAGCGTCGCCTGACGGCCGCTGTAGCCGTTTCTGATGTCTCTTCTTTGGTCGAGGTCTCGCCTCCGCTTCACCTCCGACTGGCTCGAGCGGGTCACAATGGGAAACCCTCGTTTCCTATGAACTCGGTCCCCCAACGGAAGAGGCCTCGCTCCTATTGGAACACTCCAACATCAGATTTGCCTCGTGCGTCCCTTTTTGAGGCGAAAGCTCTTTTCTTTTGGGTCCTGTGGGCACCCTATCCGCGAGACCTCGAAATAGTTGTGCTGAAGGCGCTGTTTTTGATTGAAAAGGAGGCCAACTCACGTCCCATGAGCAACATGAGATGGCTGTACCACTCGCTGAAAGTCCTCGCGTTCTTCGTGATCGCCGTCACGTCGCCGCCGGCCGCAACGATTGCGAACTTGACCGCGGTACGCAGCTCTCGCACGAGATCGACGGTCATGCCCTCGCGCCGGAACTCGTTGAAGTAGCCGCCCATGGGAAAGGTAGTCTCGCCCGGCACGCCCACCGCCGCCTTGCGCCCGATCGCGTTAAAGAAATGAGCAACGTCCGCTCCCGTCATGAGGGACCGCTTAACCTCATCAAACACGCTCACCCGAGCGCCCGTCTGCACGACGTAGTACGACTCCATCACCCCGAGCATGCATTCCTCCTTTCGCAGGTAAGAAGCCGCCCCCGTGTACTGCTCGAGCTGCTGCGTCTCCCAGTGCATATGATCTGCCAGCATAGGATCTGCCAGCGTACTCCTTCGCACGTTGCCCGCGGCGCGCCGCCTCGCGCCCCTCACTGTCCGCGTCACGCAGCTGCTCCTTCTCGCCATCGCAGTTCCAGCACCTCGTCGCCCGTGCATCGTTCCGCGTCTCGCGCCGGCAGTAGATGCACTGCCAGTGAGTGAGGCGCCGATCCATCCGCCTCGTCTTGTTTGCTCGCGTCGGCCCGACGTCGCCTCTGCGCTCATCTTCTGTGATCGCGCCTTCGCCGGCCTCCCGAACAACGCATGCAGGCAACGGTTGTGTCCCGACACCGAACTCCCTGCCGATCCCGTGGAGCTGCCCCATCGGCTGCAACGGCCCGGTGTACATCACCACGTCGCCGACCGGCGCGGACAGCGGCTGCAGTATTGCCACCGGCGTGATCGTTCCTCGCGAAGTCGTCGACAGCCGAGGTCTCGCGAGCCACTCGTCGGTTCCCTGCGGGAGCCGCTCCTCGATTCGTTGCGTCTCCGCTCGGTCGTCCATCGCCGCCAGCCACCCTCGGGTCGCGTTCGGTCGCCAGCTCTCCAGCTCGTCGTTTGGTCACCGAGGAGAGGGAACGAAAGCACACCTCAAACTGCAGGACGTGCATCCTGGACGCATCCCTCCTTGTCCCACTTATCGAATTTGTGCAGGCGAGAGTACTCGTCCGAATTCCGGCGTTTTTCATAATTCTCACCCTACTATACTACAAGTACTGCCGCCTCCGAGAGCGTCGAATGCCCTGCTGAAGTTTCCCCGGGCGAGGGCGGTGGCATTGGGTCGTGTCGCCTCCCCTCCCAGAGAGGTCGAGTCCGCTCTCCCTGGTCGGCGAATCGTGCCCGCACTCGCGGCCTCTCTATCGTCCCTGGCTCGTCTTGGGCTTTGGATTTTTCGGGGTGGGGCTGGATCGTTGAGTCGCGACGCTCTCGGAGCGGTGGTGCACGCGTATAGCGTGTATGCCGGACAAGGCTAGCACGAGCGCCGCCTCGGCTCCCACCCCTCCAAAGCACTTGCAGAGCACCTCGGTCCTCGACGTGGATGCCGCTCTCGACGCCATCGGCTGCGGCTCCTTCCACTTTTGGACTGTCACCGCCATCAGCCTCTTTGTCGTGGCACAGTCGATCCAGACGAACCTGCTCGCCTTTCTGCCGCCGTGCGCCGGCGCTGCGTTTGGCGTTGACCCCGACGCCGCTGCTTTGATTGCTTCTGCGTCGTTTGGCGCTTCGTGCATCACCACGCCGCTTTTCGGCGCATGCGCCGATGCCTTTGGGCGGCGCACGGCCACGCTGCTCGCCATCTGTATCATGAGTGTCGGTGGGCTCGCGTCGACAGCGGCGCCCACCTTCGGCACCCTCGTCCTGCTGCAGGCGCTCGTGGGCGTCGGCTTGAGCGGCGCCACCTGCCCCTTCGAGTTACTCGCCGAACTCTCTCCGTCGGCGGCGCGCGGCCGCACACTCAACTCGGTCGCGTGGGCGTGGGCCAGTGGTACCCTGCTCACCGTCTTGCTCGCGTGGGTTGTCCTCTCCGTCACCGCCGAGGACGACGAGGCGGACGCAGGCGGAGGCAAGGGTGGACACCCTCTGCCTGTGCCGTGGCGCCGGCTCGTGCTGGTGACGAGCATGCCCGTGGTGCTCGCGGCGTGCGTGCTGCCTTGCGTGACCGAGTCCCCCTCCTGGCTGCTCGCCCATGGCCGCCGCTCAAAGGCGAAACGGGTGCTCCGCCACATGGACAGCGTCAACCGCGGAGGCGCGCTACACCACCTCAAAAAGCTGCTCGCGCCGCGCCACAAGAAGCCGGCTGCCGCCACCGCCGCCGCGCGCCTCTCGGGCTCCGGCTCCGGCTCGAGCGAGGCCAACCTCCACTTGCTCCGCTCCGCCACGGCGCCGCGCCACAGCCCGACCAAAGGTGGCAACGGCGGCGGGCGGGGCGGACCCCGCGCGTACACGCCGTTTGCCGAGCCGTCGGCTTGCACGCCCGCCGACGGCGGCGCCGACGCCGAGAGCGGCGGCGGCGGCAAAGGCAGTGGCGGCGCGGCGGCGGCGGCGGCGGCGGGCGACCTGAGCGAGCCGCTGCTGCCGGTGGAAGAGGGACGGGCCGGGGCCGGCACCAGACCCGCCGCCGTGGCGCCGCGCGTGACGCCGCTGAGCGCCGAGCAGATCGGCACGGAGAGCCGGGCTGCAGGTGGCTCCTCTGCCGACGGGGTGGGCAGCCGGAGCCTGGAGGGCGCGCCGACGCCGGTGGAGTGGACGTCGCAGCGCGTGGTGCCGATTAGCAAGGACACGCGACTCTCGCGCGCCGCAATCAAGACGTTTGTCGGCGAGCAGGTCGCGAGGCCTATGGCTAATTAACAGCTTGATCGACAGCTTTAATCAACAATATTCATTCGCAGGTCAAGAGGCCGCACACCACCGGCGGCGGTGTGCTCACCTCGTCCTCGCTCTGCGGCGTGCGGCGCCAGACGCTCAACCACTGGCTCTGCAACTTGGTCGGCGGGTTCGGTTGGTCGGGCGTCTTTCTGATGAACGCGCTCGCGACGCGCAGCTCCGCCAACGAGTGCAGCTTCGACTACGCGCAGCAGGCGCTGATCTGCTCGATGGAGCTGCCCGGCACGCTGCTCGTGCAGCCGGCCGTCGACAGCTCACGATGCCATGTCATACTTGCGAGGACTCAAGAACAGGCACGCTGCTCGTGCAGATGGCCGTCGACACGCCTCGCGGCCCCCTCGGCTTGCTCGGCGGCCGCCGCGGCGTGCAAGTCGTGAGCATGGCCTTCGCGGGTGTCTCCCTCCTCGCCGGCGCGCCGCTCGCCGCCGGCTCCACCGGCGTGCTCCTTTCGAACATGCTTGCCCGCTCGTGCGTCACCGGCGCGCCCTCGGCGCAGCCGCACCGCTGGCGTGAGCGTGACAGGATTGCGAGGCGTGTGAGCCGCGGTGCCATAGGCGCGAACTCGGCGATGTGCATCGCCGGCCCCGAGCTGTACCCGACGGAGAGCCGCGGGCTCGGCGCGTCCATCGCGCGGCTGTGCTTCCTGCTCGGTTCTGTGCCTGCCGCCAGCTGGGTCTACGCGGACCGGCCGATGGCCGTCATCGCGTCGGGCGTCGCCGTCGCCAATCTGCTTGGCGCAGTGCTCGCGGCCACGCTGCCAGAGACTGCGGGGGTCTTGCTGGCCGGGACAGCGTAGTGTGGGGGGCGCGGGTGGTCAGCGGGCGAGGGTGCAGGCGTGGCGCCACAAAATTTGGCCGAGGTGTGATCATACAAGAGACTTCGGTGTTGTGTTTGTCGGGTGCGTGGACACACATTTTGTAATTCTGGCATTTCACGCCGCCCCCTCAAAGACTGTCCTTTTTGCGCTTCGATCCGTTCGCAAGATATGCCAGCGGAATGACCATTCCGCATTCGCGCTCGAGTGTCGAGACCGTTGCGGGCGCCTTGCGACATCGTGCGAGCGGGGGCTCCACTGTCCACAAAAAGCCGTATGCGCGAACAACGGTCCTCTCACACCGCGACTAGCGTTCAGGCTGCTGGACCGGGCTGGGGAGCGAGGGGCTGCTGCAGCTGGGGAGCGAGGTACATCCTTCCGGTGGTGCCTGTGGCGCTGCCGCATCGAGCGAGCCGACCGCTCGCTCCAAGTAGGCTTGACGCTCATTGGCTGTGTTCAAGCCGTCCCACTCATAGAATGGAACGCTGATCACCCTCCAGCCAGCCGCGGCGAGGAGGCGCCGCTTGAGCTTCGTTGGGCCGTTGGGCGCGCGCACGCCTTGGCTGTCAGGCAGCAGGAAGTGAGACGGGCCGTCCACCTCGATCGCGATGCGTGACGAGGGCAGCGCCAGATCGAGCGAGTAGCCGGTGCGCGGCTCAAGATGCTCTTCCTCGAAGCCGGACCGGACGGCGCTAAGGGCATCCGAGACCGAACGCTGCAAACCAGAGGGGCGAGCTACGTTCATCTGCATGGCCTCGCGAAAAAGCAGGCGCTGGGAGTCCGAGAGGAGATGCTGCTGCTCTTCTGCGCCGCGTTCCAGGAAGAGCCAGAGCTGCCACTGGTGCAGCTGAGAGCGGTCGTTCTCGCTCCACCTCGACGGATTCTGCGCGAGCGAGTCGCTGATAACGCGCGAGCAATCGGCTAGTAGCACCTGGTGGTAGTGGCCCGCCGTCGCATACGCCCACACCATGTTGGCCAGGTTCTGAGCGTTGAAGCCAGCCAGCCCGCTGCGCACCGCCGCCTCCGCCACCGCCGCGTACAGCGCGTCTGCAGCCACACCCGCTGTCGCATACGACCACACCGTGTTGGCCAGGGCCTGCGGTTTGAAGCCAGCCAGCCCGCCGCGCACCGCCGCCTCCGCCACCGCCGCGTACAGTGCGTCTGCAGCCACGCCCGCTGTCGCATACGCCCACACCGTCATGGCCAGGGCCTGCGGGTTGAAGCCAGCCAGCCCGCCGCGCACCGCCGCCTCCGCCACCGCCGCGTACAGCGCATCTGCAGCCACGCCCGCCGTCGCATATGCCCACACCGTCATGGCCAGGTTCTGAGGGTTGAAGCCAGCCAGCCCGCTGCGCACCGCCGCCTCCGCCACCGCCGCGTACAGAGCGTCTGCAGCCACGCCCGCTGTCGCATACGCCCACACCGTCATGGCCAGGTTCTGAGCGTTGAAGCCAGCCAGCCCGCTGCGCACCGCCGCCTCCGCCACCGCTGCGTACAGAGCGTCTGCAGCCACGCCCGCTGTCGCATACGCCCACACCGTGTTGGCCAGGTTCTGAGGGTTGAAGCCAGCCAGCCCGCCGCGCACCGCCGCCTTCGCCACCGCCGCGTACAGAGCGTCTGCAGCCACGCCCGCTGTCGCATACGCCCACACCGTGATGGACAGGGCCTGCGGTTTGAAGCCAGCCAGCCAGCCGCGCACCGCCGCCTCCGCCACCGCCGCGTACAGCGCGTCTGCAGCCACGCCCGCTGTCGCATACGCCCACACCATGTTGGCCAGGTTCTGAGCGTTGAAGCCAGCCAGCCCGCTGCGCACCGCCGCCTCCGCCACCGCCGCGTACAGCGCGTCTGCAGCCACACCCGCTGTCGCATACGACCACACCGTGTTGGCCAGGGCCTGCGGGTTGAAGCCAGCCAGCCCGCTGCGCACCGCCGCCTCCGCCACCGCCGCGTACAGCGCGTCTGCAGCCACGCCCGCTGTCGCATACGCCCACACCGTCATGGCCAGGGCCTGCGGGTTGAAGCCAGCCAGCCCGCTGCGCACCGCCGCCTCCGCCACCGCCGCGTACAGCGCGTCTGCAGCCACGCCCGCCGTCGCATATGCCCACACCGTCATGGCCAGGTTCTGAGGGTTGAGCCAGCCAGCCCGCTGCGCACCGCCGCCTCCGCCACCGCTGCGTACAGAGCGTCTGCAGCCACGCCCGCTGTCGCATACGCCCACACCGTGTTGGCCAGGTTCTGAGGGTTGAAGCCAGCCAGCCCGCCGCGCACCGCCGCCTTCGCCACCGCCGCGTACAGAGCGTCTGCAGCCACGCCCGCTGTCGCATACGCCCACACCGTGATGGACAGGGCCTGCGGTTTGAAGCCAGCCAGCCAGCCGCGCACCGCCGCCTCCGCCACCGCCGCGTACAGCGCGTCTGCAGCCACGCCCGCTGTCGCATACGCCCACACCGTGTTGGACAAGTCCTGCGGGTTGAAGCCAGCCAGCCCGCCGCGCACCGCCGCCTCCGCCACCGCCGCGTACAGTGCGTCTGCAGCCACACCCGCTGTCGCATACGACCACACCGTGTTGGCCAGGGCCTGAGGGTTGAAGCCAGCCAGCCCGCCGCGCACCGCCGCCTCCGCCACCGCCGCGTAGAGCGAGCGCACCACACTCACTGGTAGCCGGCACTTGGCCGCACCGTGAGCGATGTTTGCCAGGTTGCGTGCTTCGCATGACGGTATGAGATCGAGCGTGCGCTTCACCAGCCGCTCCAGCTGCTCCTCGTGCCGCCGCTCGATGCGCTGCTTGCCAAGTTTGTTCCACAGGTTCGCAGCGTGGATGTAATTCAACCTCGTGCTGTTGGCAGCGCAGAGCGAAAGCAGCTCGTCAGCGTTGCTGGCATGCGAGATGTGGCCGTTGAGTAGCTTGGCATTGAGCTGACCACCGGCAGCAGAGCCGCCAGATGAGGGCGGCTCGTTGCGCACTGCCGGATTTGGCCGGCGTGAGGGCGACTGCGGCGGACCGCCTGTCCTCGGCGGCGGTGGCAGGGGCGACGGACCGCCCGGAGGCGGCTGAGGCGCCAACCGTGGCGGCGGCGGCGGGCGCTCGTCGCGCCATCGCGGCTCGTCGCGCCATCGCGGCTCGTCGCGCCGTCTTTGCTCGTCACGCCAGCAAGACTCAGCGCGCCGCCAGCTCTTCTGACCGGGCGACTCGTCGCGAGGCCTCTTGAAGCCGGGCCCGCCGCCTCTGAGCGGGACCAGGCTCAGCGAGACGTTCACCAAAATCACAGGACGTACGCATACGGCTTTTTACTCCGCCCTAAAAAAGAAATCAATGTGCACGTTCCCGCGCATGATTTTTTTTGGCTCTGGCCGGCGAGCGGCGACAGTTTCTTCTTTTCCCTATCGAGGGGGTCTCAAGCTCGGAGGAACGAATTTAACGGAGGAGCCGCACATACCGGACTGGTCACTGCGCCGCGGCGCCCGCGCCGCCCGCGGCACACGGTGTAGGCCGGGGGTCCCCGCGCGCCCCCAGAGAAGCGACTGCCGGACACCCCCCCCCACACACACACACATACACACACACACACAAACACACCACAGCAAAACCCAAGTGTGTGCTGAATGACAGTCGAAAGAGCTCACGTCCTCTCGCTTGACGCCGACCACTCCCACCCCTCGTCCTCCGCCCCCTCCTCCTCCTCCCCCAGCCGCGCGCCCTGCTGCTCGTCCGCCCTCCTCCACAGCGCCATTGCAACGTCGTCCACCTTGCCGTCGCGGTGGTACTCCTCCATCAGCGCAGTCACCGCCGCCAGCCCCGCGTCGCCGCCGCCCGCCTGCATCCGCTCAAACAGCCGCGTCACGTCGACCTCGCGCCCGTGCTCCGCGCCTAGAAGGTTCCTAGAAGGTTCCGAGAAGGTTCCTAGAAGGGTCGCCCTCGTGCCCGTGCTCCGCGCAGACGCGCAGCAGCTCGCGGCACGCCGCGCCGCTCCACCGCACGCCGCGCTCCGAGCCCGCCTCGAAAGGGCGGGTTAGCCGCGATGAGCCGCGATTAGCCGCGATTAGCCGCGATTAGCCGAGATTCGCCGAGATTCGCCGAGATTCGCCGAGATTCGCCGAGATGAAGGCGAGCCCGCCTCGAAGTGGCGGATCGCCGCCTTCATCACCGCCCGGCGGCGGCTGCCGGCGGCGGCGTCCACCGTGGCCGTGTGCGCGAGAACGAGCTGCGCGTGCAGCCGGTCTCCAAACGGGAGGTCGTGCTCGGCGGCGAGTCGGCAGACCTGCGCGGCAGAAGGAGGGCAGCGGCAGAGGCAGAGGCAGAGGCAGAGGTGAGAGAGCAGAGCGAGCGACATGGGCAGTACAAGCAGCCTCGGGGAGGAGGAGCAGGCGGCACGGGCAATGGGAGGAGGGGGGAGGGAGCCAGCAGCGGCGGGTGGCGGGGAGCAGGGTCCGCCACACCCTCCCGCTCAGCTCGGCAGCGCGGCCTCGCACGCACGCGCGAAGCAGCGCGTCGAGTGTGCCGCGGTTCGGTCGCATCGGCGCGCAGCACCAACGCTCATATGCCGCGAGCGCGCCGGCGGCATCCGCCGCCTCGGCGTGCACGGCAATCAGACCGTTGACGGCGCCGATGGTCGGACACACACCGGCGCGCGCGGCGAGCTGGAGCACCTCGTGTGCCTCGGCGGCGCGCGCCGCCTGCGGGGTGCTCTGGTCTGTGAGTCTGTGTGTCTGTGTGTCTCTTGTGTCTCTGTGTCTCTGTGTCTTGCCTCTGTGTCGCTCCAGCGCACACCGCCTCTCCATCGCTAGCGGCCTCTTGGACGAGTCTGCGGTGTCCCAGCCGCCGCCGGGCCGTGTGCCGTACCTCTGTGGTGTCCCAGCCGCCGCCGGTGCGTGTGCTCGCCTCTCGAGCTCCCTCGCCTGCACGGCCCGCCGGCGCGGCCCGGCGCCGCAGGAGCGCACCGCCGCCGCGTGGGCGCGGAGAAGGGCGAGGTAAGGCTCTGGCCTCGCGGGGACGCCTAGAAGGCTCCTAGAAGGCTCCTAGAAGGCCCCTAGAAGGTTCCTAGAAGAGCCTCGAGGACGGCCCGTCCAACCAAGTAGCAAGGGCATGCCTCCTGAGGAGAGGTGTGTGGAAGAGACGTGTCGACAGGCCCACTCTCGGGTCGGTGGCAGCGAGCGGAGGCGGAGGCGTGTCTCATCGTGTCTCATCGCGTCTCGGCGTGTCTCATGGCGCCGTCGCCCTCCGCGGCGAGCAGCGAGAAGAGCTCGATGGCGCGCCTGTACGAGAAGGCTCGTAGAACGTCCCAAGAAGGTTCCTAGAAGAGCGGCGAGAAGAGGCCGATGGCACGCCGTGGCTCGTCGGCGACGATCAGCGCATCGAGCAAAATAGCGACGGCGGTGGCCGCGTCTCGCGCGTCGCCGCTGCCCCGCCGCGGCAGAGCGCGGCCGCGCTCAAACGCCTGGCGTGCCACTCACGGTGTAATCTCCCCAGATCTCCGCGCATCTCCGCGCATCTTCAGCCTCTCCCCTCTCTCGCCTGAATTGCGCCCTCGACCTCGCCGCCCACAGCGTAGGCGTGGGAGAGCGCGTTGTAGACGATCCGGTCGGGCTGCAGGCCGGCGGCGAGGCTCGCCTCGAAGACCGCGCTCGCCTCCGCCGCGTCGCGTGCCGCGGCGCATCCGCTCAGCATGGTCGTCACCACCGACGGCTCCGCCTCGACGGCGAAGCCTCGGCTGCGCGCCTCCTCCGCCACCGCCCTCAGCCGGGCCACGTCACCGGCGCGCGCGTGCGCGCGGAGCAGTGCGTGGTAGGTCCGCCCGTCGGGCCTCAGCCCGCGTGCGAGCGCCGCCTACGGCAAGCCCGGAGGAGGCTAGCCGGCGCGGCGCGGCGGCGGATGGGGCTGCGGGGTGGTCGGCAGCCTCGTGGGCGGCCGCTGCGACGCGCGGCACGCCCGCGGAGCCAATCATGTGCAAGGCGGCGTTCAGGCAGGCGCGGGCCTCCGGGTGTGCGACCCGCTCGCACCCACCACCACCACCGCTGCTGCTGCGGAGGCCCTTTTCGGATCGAAGATCGACACCCGAGGCGGGCTCGGCCGAGGCAGGGAGGGAGGCGAGGACCGCGCCGACGAGCTTGAGCTGTGTCGAGCCGAGGACCATGGCGCGGGACGACTCGCGGAAGAGGGCGGTCAGCCGGCGGAGCAGCGGCTGCAGTGGCTCACCCTCCTCCTCGATGCGGTGCAGCAGCGCCTCCGCAGCCAGCCAAAGGTCGCCACTGAGCTCAGAGGCTGCACGGTCCGCAGCACTATCGGAGGCGACGGAGACAGAAGAGGAGGCGACGGCGGCGGAGGTGTCGGCAGCGCGAGCCGCGTGCTCGACTGGCAGCGAGGCTGCGATGGCGTGCATCTCCGCCAGAAGCATCTCTGCCTTCTCCACAGAGGGCGGGTGCCACTTGTGAATCGCTCCCCTGCGACGCGGCCGCCTGAAGGCCAGGCCGTCGCAGGCAGCGCGGGTGCTGTGGCTGCGGGGCAGGGTCGACAGCGGGGCCGCACAGCCGAATGCGCGAGCGATCCACCGCGATCGCGGCAGCATGCCTTCGCAGGGAAAAAACCTCGTTCACGCTGCTGCGGCCCAACAAACCGACTCCCAAACGCCGGTGGCACAGTCCGAGCTGACCGTTCTTCACCTCAGATACATACATACCCCGGTAGCTCACCAGTCTCACACACAGGCCGATGTCAGGCATTTGGAAGTCCGATAGAATGATGACGTCCACTCGAGAACCCCGCGGAATCCTCACGTGCGACGTGGAGAGCGCACTCCCCTTCCTAGACATACTTTACCTATACGCGGCGGCTCCTCTGCGCCTTGCCTGCAAGCGGCAACCTTTTTTTGAGACAAAAGTACTGTACGGTACTAGGCTCTAGGGTCCCTAGTACGCTAGGACATGCAAGTCACATTTGATATCTGTTCAGAGAGACCCTTGCCGCGTCCCGCCCGCAGTCGCTGTGCGCCTGCGTGCGCTCTTCATCGAGCGAGTCTGCACATCGAACGACCTCGGTTTAGCGCAGCCCATTTGGTACGGCGAAGGGCACGTCCAGCGGGCAGGAGTCTATTTGGGGTTTGATGTTGGTGGAGCGGGGCATTCAGACCCGCGCATCGACCTCTTGGCTCAAGGTTACTCCGGTGGCATGTGGGCTATTGATGCCAATGCGGCCAGGAGCGGTTTTCGCATAGTCTGAGGATGAGACGACCATGTCGACGGGGACCGGATCGGAGAGTTTGGCCCGCCGGCGCCGGTAAAGAAGGTAGCCACCAGGTCCACCGTGTAGACACCAGAGAGGCTAGTCAAATCCATTGAGATCCACTCTTCGCAAGGGTCAGGGCACGAGCCGCCGCTGTCGCCGTTATGCCCTCGGATTGTGCGGCTGGCGGAGCAATCGTAACTATCTGTGGCGGTATTGTGGGCTGCGATGCCCATGAACTGTATCGTCGTCGTCGTCTCTAGCCAGTCACTCAAACTCTCAGAGATGGGCTAAAGAGGATCCGGAGCGCGGTAAGACTCTGGGGCTCTCTCCGAAGGGAGCGTAGCGTACGCGGAGGGAGCTCAGAGTTTCCCCGTTCTCTGGAACCTCTTAGAGCAAGAGGAACTCGCAAGAGACGAATGCGATTCGGTCGGGCGGTAGATGAGGGATGGTGGTGGGTCGCTTTGAGAACTGATAGGTTGGCGCCTGTCTGAGCAGGAGCCGACGCTCGTCGGGAGCTGTGTCATGAGCCTCGTGGCGCTCGGAGGTCCCGCGCACAAAGCGGCGGGCAGCGACGGGCGCGGGGTAAGGGTTCCCGCCCGCTAGGCGCTGCCCTCTGCGCCGAGGCTCGACCCGCTTCTCCTCAGTTCACTAGCACAAACTAAAGTTTGTTTATCATGAACTGTATCGTCGTCGTCGTCTCTAGCCAGTCACTCAAACTCTCAGAGATGGGCTAAAGAGGATCCGGAGCGCGGTAAGACTCTGGGGCTCTCTCCGAAGGGAGCGTAGCGTACGCGGAGGGAGCTCAGAGTTTCCCCAATCACCGGAGCGAGGGAAGGAGCGATCCCGGGGTGAGCGACTCCGAAGCGTAGCGCAGCGCGTGGAGGATCCCCAAATTGAGTGAGTGACGGTCCCATTCGGACTCGTCCTCGGCCGTCGGCGGCGTCGCGGCGATATGGCGTTTCGCCTTCACTCGGGTTGTCCGTCGAGGCCGAGCGGCGGCCGTTATCGCCACTGGCGGCCCGTAGATCGGGAAGGCGGGAGGGGCTCTCCACTGCCGGTCTCACAAGGTGAAGGTTCGTGCTTCTTTCTCATGTCGTGAGGTAGAGGAGCGGCGGGTCTCGCACTGCCGCTCCTCTACCGATACGAGCGCACTCCACAGGCGTCGCAGGCGAGCGAGGAGCTACAGCAGGAAGCCGTGCCGAGAGCGCCGAGCGGGGCTACATGCCCGCGAGGCTCGGCGCTGCCTGCGAGGCAGCGCTAGGGGGAGCGTGGCGGCCGGCGAGGGCGCCCGCTCGACGCCACGCACGACGACGCGCGAGCAGCGTGTCGGCGGGCGAATCGTGAGACGGTGCGAAAGACGGAACGATGGCGATGGCGGCGGCCACGTTGGCACCGGCCCGAGCCATGTCGAAGCGAGCAGCCTGGCTGCCGCCGCCGCAGCCGCGAGGCTGCGTTCGCGTGCCCGGGGCCCGGCGGAGGGGCGTCGAGCCGCCGTGCCGAGGGCACGAGGGCAGCGCCTGCGCGTTGGCTGGCGCTGCCTAATTGACGGTACGAGTCGAGGCGACGGCGGAGGCCGTGCCGAGAGCGCCGAGCGGAGCGGGGCTACGCGCCCGCGAGGCTCGGCGCTGCTTGCGAGGCAGCGCTAGGGGGGAGCGTGGCGGCCGGCGAGGGCGCCCGCTCGACGCCACACACGACGACGCGCGAGCGGCGTGTCGGTGGGCGAATCGTGAGACGGTAGGTGGAAAACGGGACGATGGCGATGGCGGCGGCCACGATGGCGCCGGCCCGAGCCATGTCGAGGCGAGCGGCTTGGCTGCCGCCGCCGCAGCCGCGAGGCTGCGTTCGCGTGCCCGAGGCCCGGCAGGGGCGTCGAGCCGCCGTGCCGAGGGCGCGAAGGCAGCGCCTGCGCGTTGGCTGGCTCTGCCTAACGGACGGTACGAGTCGGGGCGACGGCGGAGGCCGTGCCGAGAGCGCCGAGCGGGGCTACGTGCCCGCGAGGCGCGGCGCTGCCTGCGAGGCAGCGCTAGGGGGGAGCGTGGCGGCCGGCGAGGGCGCCCGCTCGGCGCCACGCACGACGACGCGCGAGCAGCGTGTCGGTGGGCGAATCGTGAGACGGTGCGAAAGACGGAACGATGGCGATGGCGGCGGCCACGTTGGCGCCGGCCCGAGCCATGTCGACACGAGCAGCCTGGCTGCCGCCGCCGCAGCCGCGAGGCTGCGTTCGCGTGCCCGGGGCCCGGCGGAGGGGCGTCGAGCCGCCGTGCCGAGGGCACGAGGGCAGCGCCTGCGCGTTGGCTGGCGCTGCCTAATTGACGGTACGAGTCGAGGCGACGGCGGAGGCCGTGCCGAGAGCGCCGAGCGGAGCGGGGCTACGTGCCCGCGAGGCTCGGCGCTGCTTGCGAGGCAGCGCTAGGGGGGAGCGTGGCGGCCGGCGAGGGCGCCCGCTCGACGCCACACACGACGACGCGCGAGCAGCGTGTCGGTGGGCGAATCGTGAGACGGTAGGTGGAAAACGGGACGATGGCGATGGCGGCGGCCACGATGGCGCCGGCCCGAGCCATGTCGAGGCGAGCAGCTTGGCTGCCGCCGCCGCAGCCGCGAGGCTGCGTTCGCGTGCCCGAGGCCCGGCAGGGGCGTCGAGCCGCCGTGCCGAGGGCGCGAAGGCAGCGCCTGCGCGTTGGCTGGCTCTGCCTAACGGACGGTACGAGTCGCGGCGACGGCGGAGGCCGTGCCGAGAGCGCCGAGCAGGGAGACGTGCCCGCGAGGCTCGGCGCTGCCTGCGAGGCAGCGCTAGGGGGGAGCGTGGCGGCCGGCGAGGGCGCCCGCTCGACGCCACACACGACGACGCGCGAGCAGCGTGTCGGCGGGCGAATCGTGAGACGGCAGGTGGAAAACGGGACGATGGCGGATGGCGGCGGCCACGCTGGTGCCGGCCCGAGCCATGTCGAGGCGAGCAGCTTGGCTGCCGCCGCCGCGGCCGCGAGGCCGCGTTCACGTGCCCGAGGCCCGGCGGAGGGGCGTCGAGCCGCCGTGCCGAGGGCGCGACGGCAGCGCCTGCGCGTTGGCTGGCGCTGCCTAATTGACGCTACGAGTCGAGGCGACGGCGGAGGCCGTGCTGAGAGCGCCGAACGGGGCTACGTGCCCGCGAGGCTCGGCGCTGCCTGCGAGGCAGCGCTACGGGGGAGCATGGCGGCTGGCGAGGGCGCCCGCTCGACGCCACACACGACGACGCGCGAGCAGCGTGTCGGTGGGCGAGTCGTGAGACGGTAGGAGAAAGACGGAACGATGGCGATGGCGGCGGCCACGATGGCGCCGGCCCGAGCCATGTCGAGGCGAGCAGCCTGGCTGCCGCCGCCGCGGCCGCGAGGCTGCGTTCACGTGCCCGAAGCCCGGCGGAGGGGCGTCGAGCCGCCGTGCCGAGGGCGCGAAGGCAGCGCCTGCGCGTTGGCTGGCTCTGCCTAGCTGACGGTACGAGTCGAGGCGACGGCGGAGGCCGTGCCGAGAGCGCCGAGCGGGGCTACGTGCCCGCGAGGCGCGGCGCTGCCTGCGAGGCAGCGCTAGGGGGGAGCGTGGCGGCCGGCGAGGGCGCCCGCTCGACGCCACACACGACGACGCGCGAGCAGCGTGTCGGCGGGCGAATCGTGAGACGGTAGGAGAAAGGCGGGACGATGGCGATGGCGGCGGCCACGATGGCGCTGGCCCGAGCCATGTCGAGGCGAGCAGCTTGGCTGCCGCCGCCGCGGCCGCGAGGCTGCGTTCACGTGCCCGAAGCCCGGCGGAGGGGCGTCGAGCCGCCGTGCCGAGGGCGCGAAGGCAGCGCCTGCGCGTTGGCTGGCTCTGCCTAGCTGACGGTACGAGTCGAGGCGACGGCGGAAGCCGTGCCGAGAGCGCCGAGCGGGGCTACGTGCCCGCGAGGCTCGGCGCTGCCTGCGAGGCAGCGCTAGGGGGGAGCGTGGCGGCCGGCGAGGGCGCCCGCTCGACGCCACACACGACGACGCGCGAGCAGCGTGTCGGCGGGCGAATCGTGAGACGGTAGGAGAAAGGCGGGACGATGGCGATGGCGGCGGCCACGATGGCGCTGGCCCGAGCCATGTCGAGGCGAGCAGCTTGGCTGCCGCCGCCGCAGCCGCGAGGCTGCGTTCACGTGCCCGAGGCCCGGCGGAGGGGCGTCGAGCCGCCGTGCCGAGGGCGCGAAGGCAGCGCCTGCGCGTTGGCTGGCTCTGCCTAGCTGACAGTACGAGTCGAGGCGACGGCGGAAGCCGTGCCGAGAGCGCCGAGCGGGGCTACGTGCCCGCGAGGCTCGGCGCTGCCTGCGAGGCAGCGCTAGGGGGGAGCGTGGCGGCCGGCGAGGGCGCCCGCTCGACGCCACGCACGACGACGCGCGAGCAGCGTGTCGGTGGGCGAGTCGTGAGACGGTGCGAAATACGGAACGGTGGCGATGGCGGCGGCCACGCTGGTGCTGGCCCGAGCCATGTCGAGGCGAGCAGCTTGGCTGCCGCCGCCGCAGCCGCGAGGCCGCGTTCGCGTGCCCGAGGCCCGGCAGGGGCGGCGTCGAGCCGCCGTGCCGAGGGCGCGAGGGCAGCGCCTGCGCGTTGGCTGGCTCTGCCTAACAGACGGTACGAGTCGAGGCGACGGCGGAGGCCGTGCCGAGAGCGCCGAGCGGGGCTACGCGCCCGCGAGGCTCGGCGCTGCCTGCGAGGCAGCGCTAGGGGGGAGCGTGGCGGCCGGCGAGGGCGCCCGCTCGGCGCAACACACGACGACGCGCGAGCAGCGTGTCGGCGGGCGAGTCGTGAGACGGTGCGAAATACGGAACGGTGGCGATGGCGGCGGCCACGCTGGTGCTGGCCCGAGCCATGTCGAGGCGAGCAGCTTGGCTGCCGCCGCCGCAGCCGCGAGGCTGCGCTCGCGTGCCCGAGGCCCGGCAGGGGCGGCGTCGAGCCGCCGTGCCGAGGGCGCGAGGGCAGCGCCTGCGCGTTGGCTGGCTCTGCCTAACAGACGGTACGAGTCGAGGCGACGGCGGAGGCCGTGCTGAGGGCGCCGAGCGGGGCTACGCGCCCGCGAGGCGCGGCGCTGCCTGCGAGGCAGCGCTAGGGGGGAGCGTGGCGGCCGGCGAGGGCGCCCGCTCGACGCCACACACGACGACGCGCGAGCAGCGTGTCGGTGGGCGAATCGTGAGACGGTAGGAGAAAGGCGGGACGATGGCGATGGCGGCGGCCACGTTGGCGCCGGCCCGAGCCATGTCGAGGCGAGCAGCTTGGCTGCCGCCGCCGCAGCCGCGAGGCCGCGTTCACGTGCCCGATGCCCGGCGGAGGGGCGTCGAGCCGCCGTGCCGAGGGCGCGAAGGCAGCGCCTGCGCGTTGGCTGGCGCTGCCTAATTGACGGTACGAGTCGAGGCGACGGCGGAGGCCGTGCCGAGAGCGCCGAGCGGGGCTACGTGCCCGCGAGGCTCGGCGCTGCTTGCGAGGCAGCGCTAGGGGGGAGCGTGGCGGCCGGCGAGGGCGCCCGCTCGACGCCACACACGACGACGCGCGAGCAGCGTGTCGGTGGGCGAATCGTGAGACGGTGCGAAGGCGGAAAGACGGCGATGGCGGCGGCCACGTTGGCGCCGGCCCGAGCCATGTCGAGGCGAGCAGCTTGGCTGCCGCCGCCGCGGCCGCGAGGCTGTGTTCGCGTGCCCGAGGCCCGGCGGAGGGGCGTCGAGCCGTCGTGCCGAGGGCGCGAGGGCAGCGCCTGCGCGTTGGCTGGCCCTGCCTTACTGACGGTACGAGTCGAGGCGACGGCGGAGGCCGTGCCGAGAGCGCCGAGCAGGGAGACGTGCCCGCGAGGCTCGGCGCTGCTTGCGAGGCAGCGCTAGGGGGGGAGCGTGGCGGCCGGCGAGGGCGCCCGCTCGACGCCACACACGACGACGCGCGAGCGGCGTGTCGGTGGGCGAGTCGTGAGACGGTAGGGGAAAGACGGGACGATGGCGATGGCGGCGGCCACGATGGCGCCGGCCCGAGCCATGTCGAAGCGAGCAGCTTGGCTGCCGCCGCCGCAGCCGCGAGGCTGCGTTCGCGTGCCCGAGGCCCGGCGGAGGGGCGTCGAGCCGCCGTGCCGAGGGCGCGAGGGCAGCGCCTGCGCGTTGGCTGGCGCTGCCTAACGGACGGTACGAGTCGCGGCGACGGCGGAGGCCGTGCCGAGAGCGCCGAGCGGGGCTACGTGCCCGCGAGGCTCGGCGCTGCCTGCGAGGCAGCGCTAGGGGGGAGCGTGGCGGCCGGCGAGGGCGCCCGCTCGACGCCACACACGACGACGCGCGAGCAGCGTGTCGGTGGGCGAGTCGTGAGACGGTAGGTGGAAAACGGGACGATGGCGATGGCGGCGGCCACGATGGCGCTGGCCCGAGCCATGTCGAGGCGAGCAGCCTGGCTCGCCTCGGCCGCGCGGGCTCCTGCCCGTGGCGGGGTAGGAGGGAGGAGTGGGTCCCGTGTCGACGGGCCGCTCCTTCGCCACGGATCGTGCCAGCCGTGTGACAGTCGTGGGTATGGACGGAGGGCCAGGCGAGGCGCGCCTCCGAGAGCGGCGCCGTCGAGGCCGTGGAGGAGGCCGTCTTGGCCGGCCGTGGCGGCTCCCGCCGGAGGCGGGAGAGTGGTTCCTGCCGTAGGCGGGGGGAAGGGGGGAGTGGGTCCCGTGCCGACGGGCCGCTTCCCAACCTCGGATCATGTCAGCCGTGTGACAGTCGTGCGTCTGTCAGCCGTGTGACAGAGGGATTCGCCCTCGGCCCCCCTCGGAGGGACCGCCCTCGAGGGCCGCGTTCGCCGCTCGGTCGGGGCGCCGCTGTGTTCGCCTGCCGAAGCGAGGTTGGGCGTGTCGGGCTATCACTCTCCTCTCTTTATTTTTCTTCTCTCCCATGTACTTGCGCTCTCCTCCCCTTTTCCTCTGTCTTCCTCTCCCCCTCACCCTTCTCTCTTTCTTTTTCCTCCTCTCTACTCCTCTTGTTCTCTCATGTTACCTCTCTCCTTCCCGCTTGCTTTTCTCTTCCTCCTCCGGCCGCAGTCTTGTTGTCTTATTTTTCCTCTCGCTTCTTCTGTTCTCTCACTTTTCTC